TCAGTCATTCATGGCACAGAATCCTTAGTCCAAAGTATCTCCAATCCCTGACCAGTTTTGTAACAGCACACATGCTTTGAACAGGCAAAGGTCCTCCATCAATCTCTGCATTTAGCAAGTGTGCTCTATAGGAATGGGGCTGGCTTTCCCCATCATGCCCAGGAAGAGATCCAAACAAAACAGGTTAGGGTAACAAATAGAAAAAGAAGAACGCTTGGCCATGTTGAGCTGTGGGATCTTCTCAGGTTCTCAGCTGGGATGGTTTAAAATGCAACCGCAGGGCACTGCACATCTCCCATCATCATCCTTCCATGCAAGGTAAATCCAGATCAGGGAGAGGCAAGACTTGGGTGCCTGCCCTAGAGTCACCTCCTTAGTCACTTGGGAGTCTGAACAGAAGCAAGGCGGCCATCCACCATAAAGGGAAGGATCTGAGGGTGATTCCTATTGGCTGGCTCTCCAGAAATGAGGCACAGGACTGTCTCTCTGGACAGCAGGAACAGACTGATCTGAGCAGAAGGAATCTAGTTGGTGGATCTGTGCTTTGGGGGCTCACAGCCGTCTTCATCCCCTCCACTCTCAAGCCTGGGGGAGCCTTCATCGCTGCAACTAGGCATAAAACCCTAGAGCTCTGTTGCTAAGGAGATTTGCCAGGAATCCTCTGTGCCACTCCCCACCTCTCGATTTGCACAGTACTTTACTCTATAATGACTGTGATGGAAAGGGGAGAGTGCCCTAGCTTCTCCTGTGTGTCACTAGGCTGGACATGTCCAGAGTTTTCCAGCTGCTCCACAGCCAGTGGTGGGCCTAGGTCAGACTGGGGAGGCCCAGTGGCTGCTTCTGGGTGACTCTTGCTCTTGTGGGCTGTGACGTTATCTTTCTTCTCAAACTTCTTGCCACAGAGGTCACAGGAAAACTGGTAAAAGGAGTCGGCATCGTGCTTCTTCATGTGCCAATTCAAGGAGGCCTTCTGGCGGCAGGTGAACCCACAAATCTCACATCTGTGGAGGGGAAAAAGGAAAGAGGGAAGGGCTTTACTACATGTGACTGAGGTATGAAATTAATGGCCTCTGGGAGATCCATGGTTTGGCCTTCCCTTTCTGCGTATGCCCACAGAATAGGGGCTTCTCTGGTTGGTCATTTTGAACAAATGAAACATTCAACAACTGATATATGTTTTGAGGTATTGGAGAGGTTAAGTAAAAAATTTGAAAATTGTTTAAAGATAAAGTGATAGAATGGATTAGCACTTGAGGGTCTGAATAAAGATTTGAAGATACAATGCTTAATATTTAAAAAAGTCTAGAATGGATGTCTTAGGGAGTGAGGTATATTTAGGTTGGAGAAGACCAAGAGGTGACGTGATAGCCCTCTTTAAATATCTGAAGGGATGCTGGGTAGAAGATGGAGTGAGCTTGGAGCCAAATTGCAAGAAAAGAAATTCTGCCTAAAGTTTGGGAAGGATTTCTTGACTGTAAGAGCTGTTTGAGAGTGGAATAGACAGCTTCGGAAAGTGGTGTACTCTCCTCTTCTGCAGATGTTCAAACAGAGGTTGGTTGACTATCTTTCAGGAAAATTTTAGTTATATAGTTCTGCATGGCTGGGGGTTTGAGTAGATGGTCCTTGTTATCCTTTCCAATTCTATGATCCTAATAGAACTAATAATATAATACATGACTACTCATCATGATTTGTATATGAAACCTGAATAAGGTTGCCAGAGTGAAAAGTGGAGAGGGCTCCTGTACCTTCAATGGTTATGGAGCATAGAGAATTTCAGCAGGATTGCTTGTTACATAATTGTGTGACAAGAAATCCCTGCTGAAATTTCCTCTTCAACGCAACCCATAAAGATACAGGAGCCCTCTCCACTTTTCACTCTGGAAACCCCAAACCTGAAAGATCTTCAGAGGGAGAATGTCACTGACCACAAGATGCTGGTGAGCAACAGCAACTCTGCACCTTTTTGGCAAGGGTTTCCTGGAGGGATTTCTGATGGCTTTTATGGAAAGCATGGCTAGATGGGCTCTCCCTCCAATCATCCTATGGGTCACTTCTGCTGTTCTTATGTCACGACTGAGACTGGAAAGAGCCAGGGAGGGGGAGAATACTCACTGTAAAGGTTTTTCTCCAGTGTGGATTCGTCTATGGATGATCAAGTTGCTGCTTGTCCGGAAAGAGCGGGCACAAAACTCACAGATGTAGTCCCGTTTATCTGCAAGTCCAGAGGGAAAGAGAGCATGTCACTGGATATTCTGAGCCAGAGGTAACAGGTTCCATGGCAACATTTAGGCAGTATTTTCTTCTTCAAACTATTTGGATCAGAATAGGATTCCTGTGCCTTTAATAATCTTTAAGAGATAGCTGTGTTTTTATCTCGCTAATTTAAAAAAAGGGGAAGGAAGGAAAAAATGGAGTCTTGAGGTACTTTTAATAATAATAATAATAATAATAATAATAATAATAATAATAATAATAATTATTATTATTTTTTATTTTTATTTTTATACTGCCCTTTGGCGAACCAATCTGGGCGGTTTACAGCATTAAAAGCATACAACATAAACAATATATTTCCCTTCCCCCTTAAAAAGTTATTAAACTGTATATCAATTAAAATCACAATAACAAATTAAAAACAGAAAATAATACCAACCAATTAAAAACCCCTGTAACTATAGTTCTAAAAAGGGGAGCTATGGAGACGCTGCTGTGGAGGAGGGGGGACATCCCGAGGCCGGGATATTTTAGTCTGGGAAGGCCTGCCGGAAGAGAT